CCTCTGTTATTGAATTAATTAACTATTATGTATCTATCAAAAATTCATTATCTGTTGGTAGAGTGTGGATAGCGGCTGTTTAGTGGGGATTTAGGGGGGAAGTGGTAATCCCCTCCCCACCCCTCCCCCCTCTTCAATGCCCGCTCTGCCAATCAGAAGCACGCACATTGCAACTTTACAGCTGAAACCGAATTTTCCTCAATTTTCTGTCAATTAATTGATCAATTATTTATTTATCGTTTGTTTTTATTGAGAATCAGTCATTCGGTGTTGAAATGGTGGTTTGTTTATGGTTGAAGTGGAGGGGTGGGGTTAACCACTTCTCCCCTCCCCGTCCTCCTGTTGTGAATTAAAGCCCCCAGAATTGTCTCCCCTCTATTATTGAATTGATTAATTTTTATATATCTATCACAAATCAATTTTCCGTCGTTGAAGTGGAAGTGGCGAATGTTTAGGGGGGTTTGAGGGGGAAGCGGTCACCCCCCCCTCCCCCCACCTTCATCTCCCGCTCCGCCAATCCGAAGCAGGCACATGACAGCTTCACAGCTGAAACCGAAATTTCCCCAATTTTCCGTCAATTAAGTAATCAATTATTGGTTTATCGTATATATTCATTGAGAATCAATTATTCGGCGTTGAAATGGTTTGTGTTTATGGTTGAAGTGGAGGGGTGGGTGTGACCATTTCCCCCTCGCCCTCCTGCCGTTGTGAATTAAAACCCCCGAAATTGCTTCCCCTCTGTTATTGAATTGATTAATTATTATGTATTTATCAAAAATCAATTATTCATTATTGAGATGTCGGCAGCAGCTGTTTAGGGGGGGAAACGGTCACCCCTCCCCTCTTTCAACACCCGCTCCACCAATCAGAAGCCCGGACATTACAGCTTTTTAGAACTAAAACCGAAATTTTCCCAATTTTCCATCAATCAATCAATTATATTAATTATTAACTATTAAGGATCAATCAGTGGGCGTTGAAATGTCGGTTTGTTTATAGTTGAAGTGGAGGGGGTGAGGATGACCACTTCCCCTCCCCCTGTCATCAATTAAAACCCCCCGAATCGCCTCCCCTCTATTATTGAGTAAATTAATAATTATGCATTTATCAAAAATCAATCTTCCGTCGTTGAAGTGTCAGTGGCGGATTTTTAATAGTGGAGGGTGGGGGGGGCACCCTTTCCCCTCCTTCAGCACCAGCTGCGCCAATCAGAAGCCCGCAAATTGCAACTCTACAGCCAAATTTTCCACAATGAAATCGAAATTTCCGCAATTTTTCATTAATTAATTTTTATCTGATTAACCATTAATAATTAATTCATTAATCAGTGGCAGGAGGGGAAGGGGAACTACTTTATTTTGCCGGTACAATTAATTTTTCGAGTTTAGAAAAAAAAAACGGGGCAAAATGGGCCAGTTTTAATGATTAATTACTCGAAAAAATTACTCTTTTTGTCATTCATGAGATATATTTTTTTTAGCATTTAAAATGAAACTTGATTCATAAAAATCGTATTGTCTGGTCGGAAGACATTAAAGATTGAAGACGGTTTCATTCAATTCTATTGCCTTCAGGTGCGTTCAGGTGTGCTGTTTTGTTGTATTTCTTGGGAATTTCAAGATGTCAAAGTCCCTATAAAAATCAGCTGTGATGTTTGGGGATTTGGAATTGGGGGTTTTATTTAACAACTAGATTTGACTAGATTTTTTTTGGGGTGTTTTCTCGTTGGAGAGGGGTAATCGAAAGGATCAGGCGGATTGTGGAGATGGGAATTATTGACATTTATAGGAGGGTGGTATGGGTGGGGGTGACGTGAGGTCAGGGATGAGATTCGTAGAGGTTAGACGGTTGGAGATTTTATGGGATTTGAGGAACTGTGCGAGAGAGAGAGAGCACGAGAGAGAGGGGGGGGCGGTCAAGAATACTTTTTTAATTATCTCCTTCATATTTGGGTTTAGGAAAAAACGTCTGGGGACTTTCTTGCGAAGAATTTAATTCTCTAGAAAAAGTTTGCATATTGTTTTTTTTATCGAGCTGATTATTAATGAATAATTGACAACAATCGTCGAGTTTCGCAGTCTGATAATTTTTAATTATGGGATTATCTCGGTAATTGGTTGTTTTGGAAGAAATCATAAGAGAACCTTTTTTGTAGAGAAATTTATCAACTAGAGAAAAGGTCTTTTAGTGTTTTTCGATGATATTGATCGATAATGAGATAATTGAAGGTTTAGTTGAAACGGGATGGATTTTTCTATCTGCAATCTTTAGTTCTGAATTTATCTCGTTAATGAGTGGTTTTAGGAAAGAAAAAACAAAAAAGTTTGCTTGTTTATTTATTTATAGTATAATTTATTTATAATATACACATGATTATTAATAATTTATGTATTGACTCGGGGGCTACGCCCCCTGCTCCCTCCGCTCGCCAACCGCCATATGAGCCACTTCCCATGACCCTTAATTTAACCCTTGAGACCCTTAATCTGATTCTCGTAACCCTTATTGTGACCCTTGCAACCCTTATTCTGACCCTCATAACCCTCGTCACCCTTATTTTGACCCTCGTGGTCCTTATTTTGACCCTTGTGATCCTTATTCTGACTCTTATTACAACCCTCATGACCCTTATTCTGACATATTATAATCCTCGTGACCCTTATTTTTACCCTTATTCTAACATCAATTATAATCCTCGTGATCCTTATTTTGACCCTTGAGGCCCTTATTCTGATCCTCATTATTAGTTTCTAACTCTTGGTTTTTGACCCTTAATTTTGAAGTCTGAATTTCAAGTACCAAATTTTCATCACTGGAAGTCAATTTGGATTTTTATAATATAGACAGATAATTATAAATATCCTTCGCTGCAATTTCACTCTAGATAAATTGCTCTATTCTAGGGGTGAAACCAGAAAATCTTGGAATTAATTCTCCCATTCTCGACTCGTAAAATGCCCTCCGATAATGTCAACAGAAATGACCACTTGATTAAGAAAATAAACGATATACGACGGACTATCTATCTTCTCGATTCATCGATGAAAGTATCTCAGAGTCTTCAAGTCGAGCAATCGTTCAAAGTCTTGAACATGAAGATCAAGAACTTGAGATTACAGAAGAATCTGAAAGATGCTGCAAATAAAAATGATACTATGTTGAGTGAGCAGTCAGGCTTAATAACAATAATAAGGAAAACAATGAGCTTTTTATTACCATTTTTATTTGTAGATTTATTTCGAAAAAATATCACAAGCGATGAACTCCCGGATTACTTGACAAAACAAGTTAATCGATCTTGGCATCAAAAGTATGATTATAAAGTGTCATGGATTCAACGAAAAAATTTCATTGAAAAATCTAGTGAATTCGTAGAAAATTCCACAGCTTTGTTACCCTTTTTTTTCATAGAAAACGTCCAATTGAAACTGTTTTAGTGAAAAAATGAGCGTAAAGCTGAGTTTTCGAGGAATTTCTCCGAATCTAATGGAGATAACGAAATTTTCGTAATGACCTTTTCTGTAGAGTGGATTGAGGGCTACAAAAAAGGTCGTGACAAAAATTTTGCTATCTCCCGTAGATTTGGAGATATTCATTGAAAAGCGAGAGACATTTTCTATAGGAATTCCTCAACATGAATTCTCAAAATGCGTTAATTTATTATCACTTCCGGTTTTTGACGATTTCTCACAAACAAAAGGACCTAGAAATTCCTCGACATGATTTTTCCAAGTTTTTCCACTTTATTTTGCTCCGATTTCCATTTAATACCTCAGAAATTTCTATAGAAAATATCTGAAGAAAATAAATTGTACAGAAAAATCGAACTCTATCGGTTTTTTGTACAGAATATTTTCCATTCCACATCTCTGTTAATAAGAAGGCGGATAAGTTGCGGGATTCTTCACTAGAAACGGTAAAAAATTAATAGAAAGTTCAACAGAAATTCAACAGAATTTTATAGCGAATTCGCTAGATTTTTCTATGAAATTTCCTTCGTACGTGTTCCAATGAAAATATCAACGCATAATTACCTCTCCGAAATCGTCATTCACAGATATGACGCATTATTGACACTGAATGATCGTTTGAGGAAGCAGATTCATGCGAAAAATATTGAATTGAAGGAAAAAAATTTTCAGGTGAAAAAAATTCCTTCTCTACAATCGAATTTTATATTTTTCCCAGTCAAATATAAATAATTTTTTTAGATGAGTCTTATTCATTACTTATTCACATGGGTTTTATCTCATTTTTGGAAATGCTTTTGTAACGAAAAAAAAAATTTCCAATCGCAGATTCGTGCGCTGGAAGAAAATCTATTGAAAACTAATGAAAAATTAATCCAGAAGCCGTCGCGAAAACAGAAACCCGAGGAAGAACTCAACAATTGCTGATAGACCCATTGCATAAGATGAATGAATGATTGAGTTTGCATTACATATGTTTTTGTATTAAAATCTCAATCTTGTGATTCATTCTATTCCGTAACTCATGGTGTCAAGGGTAATAAATCAATTAAACTAGCGCTTACAGTTATGCATATGCATGCCCTTGAGACAGATAATAACTCTCATTGTAGGTTCGCATCGATTTGTTCACTTCGGTTATGACACAGAATTTTTACGATAGAATTTTATTATTCTGTGACATTCACAGAAAAATAAAAACTTTTTCACGTACTTTCTTCTTTTTAATTCAACATTCAAAGTTTTCGTTCAACTTTTTGTTGTTGAATTCCGTTTGGGAACTTTATGTTTGAAAATAGTATTTTTTCCTTCTTCAAGATTTTATTTGCCGTAATAAATCGTAACAAAACGCTAAGAACATCATAAAATAAACAATAAAAGTGCATTTTTTTAAACGAAAAACAGAAAAAATCTTCAAGTTCCGTAAGAGCTAGATGGCGCGTCTAAAATTTAAAACAATTTCTACGACTTATTTATGAGAAAGTGATTTCTGAAACTACATTGAAATTTTTCATTTCCCTTCGCGCAACAATTAATAAATTTCATGATTGTAAAATTATGAAAAAATTCCATAACTCCCTGCCCCGTTACAGAATATCAATTTATAGTTAAATACTCGTTAATATATGAGTCACCAAACACACTTCCCCAGATCGTAAGAGTTCGTCTTCCTAATGCAATTATGATGTTTAAATATTTTATCTTGATGCAATAGTAATTCCATTAGACTTAGGCCAATAAAGGAATGAGGAGCTTCGCAAGTTATATAAACGAACAAGGGTTGAGACAATACTTTCTGTCAGTGCTCTGCTCAATATTCATCAGCACATCTCCTCAATTCTCCAAAGTAAGAAGGATCAAATCTTCATTTTTGTATGAAGACTCGAAAAAATCATTGACATTATCAATCATTTGAGTACAGATGGATATAAATCCGGAAAATACTTCTGTCACGACGATTAATGAAGTCTGGGACTTCATATGGATAACATTCAAAAATGCATCACTGACGTATGACCTTGCGTTCTCTCAAAATGCTACCAAGACTGGACAGTCTGAGGAAGGCAATATTTTTGATAATCCAGCGAAATTGGGAATTTTTACGGGACTGCTGATTGCGTGGCTGGCTGATTTTCGGATCGGTCCTATTAAGGTATTTATCGTTTTGATAGAGGAAATTCTCCTGAATAATCCCTTGAAGGATATAGAAAACCTAGCGAATTCGGTAGAAAATTCTATTGTAACTCTATAGGAATTCTATGGGGTTTCTGTAGAATTTCTATTGGAATTCTATTGAAAAATTCTATTTGTTTTTTGCGCTGATTCTTTTGGATATTCAATAAGAAAAAGTCAATAGATTTAGAAATTCCATTTAAATTTTACTCTTGAGATTTTTTCTAGTAGAATCCTTGGGCAGCAATTTTCCAAGTTTTTTCCGGTCGGATTCTGTAATGGAAATCAAAACAAAATCCAGCGGAAAAATTTCTGCCCACTAAAAAATCTCAAAAGAAAAGTTTGAGCAGAAATTCAAAATACATTGACTTTTTCCTATCAAATATGCAATAGAATCAGCGCATAAAACGAGTGGAATTTTTCTATAGAATTGCAATAGAATTTTGTACCGAATTCACCAGGTTTTCTATTGAATTTTTTCATGCGTGAAAGGACTCGTAATTTCAAAACTTCCTAATTTTTACTTCGACCACGACAAAAAATTATAGAAAAACCTTGTGAATTTGTAGAAAATTCGGTTGAGATCTCAATGAATAGAAATGTTTGATAGATAATATTCGATAAAAAAAAATCAATAGAGCTCGGTTTTTTCAATACAATTTTCTCTATTGAGATGTTTTTTACAGAAAACAGAATTCCTTTGCTCAATTTCTCAGTCTTTTTTCCTGTTGATTTATTGGATGAAAAGGGAAGAAAAATGGAGCGGAAAAAACATTGAAAATTCAGGTCAACGAATTCCTATAGAAAATATCGAATGAAAAAAGTGGTATTGAAAGACAAAATTCTACTGATTTTTTTCTATAAAAGATGTTTCTATTGGATATTTTCTAAAAAAAACATAATAAAGCTACAGAATTCTTCTATAGAAATTCAATAAAATTTTCTATAAAATTTCTCCAATTTTTCTATGACTCTTTCGTGCCTGTATTTCGTTGCATCAAATAAGAAGAGATATCCAAAAAAGCTAGCGTTCCTTTCAAACTCCGTGAATAAAGTCACCTCGTCCCAACATCGCTTCTAAATCTCGCAGGACAGCAGAATGCTAGACAAGAAACTGAAAACCACAGCCACCTGGACCTTCAACATAATCATCTTCACGCTCTTCGCGCCCTTTGTTACAATCCTCCTGACCACCTGCTTCCTCTACCGTCGACTCATCACCCAGATCCTACGAAGATCAGAAGGCAATGACTTCGGTGGTCTTCTAGAAGGATGCGATTGCGTTTGGGCTGTTGAGGACGAGCACGCCTACTCCGTCATCAACGTCCTCGGGATTCTCGAGATAAAACCGGTTATGACTGCAGATCCTTCGAGGATCTTGAACGACTTGAGAAGACTCGTGCAAGATCGTCTAATATCTCAGAACTTCGACAAGCTGTGTTGGCTGAGGGACCAGAAGTACGGGTACTTCTACTGGCGAAGGACCAACGGCATCATCAACCTGGAGGAGAGGATCAGATGGCTAGGGGAGGATGACGAGGAGTGCAAGGGCACCTGCGGAGACGTCTACAATGGATACCTGAGAAAAATGATGAACAAGATCTGCAATCGACCGCTTCCTGAGGACCACAAGACCAACTGGGAGATTCTTGTCGGCAGACACTGCCAGAAATGCCTTGATGGCCCTCATAAAACTCTAAATATTCCCTTGGTCTTTAGAATCCATCACTCTGTTGGCGATGGAGTTGCTCTGCTGAGGGTTCTGCTGGAAGCCATCGCCGATTCTCATTTCAGTCCCAAGTGTCCAGTCGACGTTGTCATCGATCCAGATTCTCAAATAGCTAATGAGGGAACGCTTCATTCGCTTGATGGTCTAGCTGTTTCGACTGATGACGTTACTTTGAAGTCTTTGAACCAGATCATTCTGTATACTGATGATCTCTTGGATGCTTCCATGCCGTTCGTTGTCAGACCAATTCCTCCGGTTACGGAAAAGTTGAAGAGAATTTTTGCAAGAACACGAGAGATTGTCCTTCGGGTTTATGAGAGAGCCCTAGCAACGGTCAAATATTTTGGAAGCAACATGATTGTGCTGCTGTCGATACCTTCTTGTCTTGTTGGGCAGGCACTTCACTGCTTGGATAACAGGTATGCCATCGACAATTAGCTTTCCAATGTGAATTATAATGTGACTGCTGTCATGTTGGGGAGATAAATGTCGATGGAAACGAGTGCGGCTGAACAAGTTTGATGATTTATGACGCGGAGTTGTAGAATAGTCTAGGGGTGGATCTACGGATTCATGATCTGCTCGTTTCAGTGCTCTTCACGGTCCCCCGTTGACTGGCGAGAAGATCATATCTTGCTGGATGGAGGGGGACTTTGTTGATGACGATGAAGATTCTGGACTTCTCGCGAAAATTCGAGATATCAAGAACACGACTGGAACGAGGTTTGGGGATGTCGTTCTTGCTGCCTTGTCTGATAATCTTCATCGTTATTTTGAAAAGGTGAAGGATCGTGCAAAGTTGCGAAGCTTATTGTTTGGCTTTAACGACAGTTTAAAACGTGTTGTTGCGTAGTTTTTGCTCAAGATGTACGAATTTTTTTTCGTAGAAGTACCTAGTGAATACGCTAGAATTCTATTCTTTCTATTGCACATTTCGTATAAAAAAGTGCCGTAAAGTTGCAGGATTCTTCAATAGAGTCGGACAAGAACTGATAGAATTTTGAATATAATTTCTAGAGAATTCTATAGAAATCCTATAGATTTTTTTTATTCGCTAGATTTTTTTCCAAATACAAATATTCCCGCCTTTCTTTTGAGGGGAATCCCCTTGTAAAGTAGGAAACATGGAAAAAATACGAAATCATAAGGAATAGAAGTACCTCAGCTAAATTTCCACACAACTGGAATAAACCATACTTCCCTTAGCTCAACGAAACAGCTCCGAAAACTGTAACCGTCGTGATACCAGCTAGAATGTCAGCACCAAACAAACAACTCAGCCTCAGAAACCGATTTTCAGTAGGATTGCTACCATTATGCATTTCCGAAGCAAACGGAAAGGAGTTGATCCTCAATAATGATGAAAACGAGGAAACTAAATATGGACGGATGCTGGAGAGACTCCGGGATGTGTCTAAATGCTCAGAAGACTTGAGACACAGGCCAGATTACCTGATCAATTACTGGGTGATGAGCTGGCTGTCTGCTGCCTTGCCAAGGAGGATCCTGGAGCCATTCTTGAAGAGTCACAGTACTATGGTCTTTAGTAATCTACCTGGACCCAATAAAATTGATATTCTGGGGAATAGTTTGGAGAAGGTTGCGTTCTGGATTCCCCACAGGTACAAGAGGAATTTAATTTTCAAGGTCTACCTTGATCACGAAAGTATTTCGTTGATTCCGAATATTTCAATAATGATTATTTTGAATAGAGGAACAACCGGCATTGGCGTGTCTTTCCTAACGTACGGAGGCAGAGCCCATCTTTCTGTAATTGTGGACAGAGGAATTATAAGGGACGAAAAAATTCTTGATTCGATAATCAGGGGTACGGTTGATGATATTCAAAAACTTCACGAATATATCACTGTGAAGCTGACGCACCTACGGAAACAGGTGACAATTTTCTTCCAGAATTTTCTTGCGAATAATTTTTTATTTAGTGTTTCAAATGGCATTTGCATTTCTAGGGTCTAGTGTGCAGTAACGAATAAGAATTCCTGATTACCTCGAATTAAGAGAAGACATCTTCAGAATGTTCATTCTGATAACTCCTTTGAACTCCTTTTGATAACTAGATCAAGAACAATTTTTATCTTTTTTATATTACAAATTTTACATGACTATAAATAACTACAGATTTATCTTCATCTCATTTTTATAGTTTAATAAACAGACAGTTTTCTTCGAAGTTTTCATTCCAAATTTCAAACGGGATTCGCATTTATAGGGTCCAGTCTGCAGTAACGAATAAGACTTCCTGATTATCTCGAATTAAGAGAAGAAATCTTCAACATTAACTCCTTTTGATGCCCAGATCGACGACAATTTTTATCATTTTTATATTATGAATTTTACATCACTACAAATAACTGTGCATATTTGTCTTCATCACATTTTTATTGTTTATTAAACGACAATTTTATTGTTGTACAAAACGAATACAAAGTCAAAACGGAAAACACACTCTTGCTAGAGTCCCTCGAGTCCAAACATTCGTCACACAACTTAAATTAATCGGAATTATCTAAGAATTGGTCTATGTAGGAGGAGAATGCGGAATACGAATTTTGATATTTTCTCGTAAGCCAGGAACATCAGAGCTGCTGTCAATACAGTCTGTAGTAATTTGGCTTCCATTCCTTTGTACAGGCCCCCCAACCCTTGTGTCCTATTGAAGAAGAGTAAATAAAAAGATTTGATAAAAAATCAATAACGAAACTGTAAAACAGTTTACATCGATATTATTGGTCAGTTTTCAATGAATATCTCGGAATCTAAGGCAGATAGCAAAATTTTAGTTATAATCTTTTTTATAGCCCTCAAATCCATCTACCAAAAAGGTAATTACGAAAATTTCGCCATCTCCATTGGATTCGGAGATATTCCTCGAATACTCAGCTAATTACTTTGCCAGAACTCTATGTTATATTTTTGCAAAATTTTTAGGCCGTGACTATTCGCACCATTGCGATTCACGCAATTGTATTTTTATACATCAGGATTGCGTTTTTCCTTTTAAAACATTAAAAAGTCGACTTTTTTCCAGATAATAATTAATACGCATCAATTGATAGATTGCAGTTGTCGAAGATCTGTTTCATAAATAATTTGTAAACAATCAATTTTGCACTCTAACAATCGTTTTTCACAATTTCATAAGAAGGGAAAAATATTCTAGGAAGAACAATTTTTTTTTACAAAATGTCATTTGAATGCAAAATGTCAATTTAATTATGAAAATTGTAAAAATTATTTGTTTATTCTCTCTGGGTCCATTAGCAAATTATGTACATAATATACTCACTTTAGAATGTAAAGAAGCATCTGTATTGTTCCCGCATCTGATGGAAGATTCTTGTAATTATGGCCATGCTGAAGAGAAAACAAATAATCCTCATGAATAATTCACCCTGAAATCACGTCTCTCCCAAGATCATCAATATTTACCCGAAGTTTCGCTTGTACCAGTTGCAAGGGATACGTCAGCGTTGTGGCGACAGCCTTGGCTATTGCCCCAATAGTAAAGAAAACCCATGCTGGTGTACCTAATGACGCATTAACTCGCCTCTTAATACTCTCGTAAATCATAAACTGAATCGCTGGATTCGACACAAGTATCAGGCTTGGTAATGTACCAGCCCAGAGTTTTCGGATGCCCTCGTATTTCCAGATGTGTATAATACCCTCTGAAAATACGAAATGATCGGTAATTCACGGATGAGAACAGTTTCAGGGAAAAATATAGCGAATTCGATAGAAAATCCTATGGAATTTCGAAATTCCTCGAAAAGATTTTGGCGAAAGTCGACTTTCTCCCCGGAAAAACGGAAAATCTGACCCTTTGAAAATCTGGAAAAAAAAGCTTTTCCAGTTTTCACTTTTTCCACATACTTTTGAGAGTTCTGAATAGCTCGTCGCTTAAATAGTTGGAATCAACGTTCACCCGGGTAAAAAATTTGATTTTGGCGAAAGTCTACTTTCCCCCTGGAAAAACGGAAAATCTGACCCTTTGAAAATCTGAAAAAAAAACGTTTCCAGTTTTCACTTTTTCCACATACTTTTGAGAGTTCTGAATAGCTCGTCGCTCAAATAGTTGGAATCAACGTTCACCCGGGTAAAAAATTTGATTTTGGGGAAAGTCTACTTTCCCCCTGGAAAAACGGAAAATCTGACCCTTTGAAAATCTGAAAAAAAAAACTTTTCCAGTTTTCACTTTTTCCACATACTTTTGAGAGTTCTGAATAGCCCGTCGCTCAAATAGTTAGAATCAACGTTCACCCGGCTGAAAAATTCGATTTTGGCAAAAGTCGACGTTCCCCCTGGAAAAATCCAAGATCTGACACTTTGGCCCCCGGTGAAAAAAAAAAATTTTCAGTTTTCACTTTTTCCACATACTTTTGAGAGTTCTGAATAGCCCGTCGCTCAAATAGAATCAACGTTCACCCGGCTGAAAAATTCGATTTTGGCAAAATTCGACGTTCCCCCTGGAAAAATCCAAGATCTAATACTTTGACCCCCGGTGAAAAAAACATTTTTTTCAGTTTTCACTTTTTCCACACGAGATCGGCCACGCGAGGATTCCTTTTTCATTCAAAAAATCAAACAAAAAAAAAGGGAAATTTGAGCCCAACAATCTCCATAGAAAGTACTTCAAATGAATAAATTGTATGGACGTACGCAATGATCAGTAATTGAAAAATATAAATTATAAAATGAATTAATATTCTATTCGCTAGGTTTCTCTATGAAATTTTCTCTAGCATGTGTTACAAAATCCTCTCAACCCCTCATTTACATAATGCGCGATGTTTCGAGGCGTGAGAATGTCTGTTTACACTGCATTCCGTCGAAGTATTCTGGAGACCATAATGTTACATATTCTGCATAATTGAATTATCGCCTTGGGAAACCTCAGTTTAATTTCAAAAAATTGGAACACTAAAACCGACAGTCTTCAATCCCCAATAACTCGAAAACGGCAGAGTGAAATCGTCGCATTTTTTTCTCGTTTTCAAGTTATCTTTTCAAGCTTTAAAACGAGCCATGACTCATCCAAATCGCATCGTCAGGTCGAGAGATATCGACGATTGGAGAGAGTCTCCTCTATTTGGAAAATCTTTTAATCAAGTTAGGGGAAAAATTGTCAACTCACCCAAGAGAGTGACGTAGTCGTTGTTATTTGGTTCATGAACACCGCCTATTCCTCGAGTCTTTAGACGAGTATTCACGACCCAGAGTGGTGTTGTGGCTAAGACATTGGTAACTCCTGAAAAGACGTTTAGTAAGAAGTTTTCGTTAGTTAGAGAACAAACTTGAAAGTTACTTTAGCAATGGGCACCTGCTATCGATGCAAGGAGCAAGTCATTTCCTGCCGTCTGATTCTTCGAGTTCCTCATGCGTTTTAAACCGTGGAATGCATAGAAATAAACGAAATTACTGGCACATAGACTCTGGAGAACCGGCACAACGCCTCTGTACAATGTGCATCTGTAATTATGAGTTAAAGAACTTTTGAACTTTTTTTTTGCTCGAGATAATTCATCTGATTGATACTCACGGCCCTTCTTTCGACACGAGATCTCGGATTGTCGCTAGTGTGTTCTTGGCTTGACGATCCTCCTCCACTGCAAGGGAAGAAATCATGAAAATTTTATTCGTGAAAAATCGTAAAAAATTACTCACAATAGTTTAGTGGTTTTTGAAGGATTTTTTATTGTTTTCTTAACGTCTTTTTTATTTGATCTTATCGTTTTTACATTTATATATTCCTTGAAAACTCAATCACGTTTAACAACATTTTTACGATGAGGAATTTCATTGGAGTTCAATTAGAATTCTATTGAATTGCAATGTAAATTGTATTTTTTTTGTTAAATTTATTATTCAATTTCGTATGTTTCTATTAATCTTTCTCGACTCTTGGCTTTGTCTGCAAAAAATTATTCTCAACAGACTGAAATATTTCGATACAACTCGTCCCTCCAAATCTATTATTCACTTTCAACTTTGACAAAATCAATTTTTCATTTTTGTGTTGACGACTTTTTATTTCATTCTACCTTTCTTACATTGATGTATTCCTCAACAACTCAAGGACGTTTGAAAAAAAAATTTACAAACGAATCTAGTGTTTTTCCTGAGAAATTTCATTGGAGCTCAATTAGAATTCTGTTGAATTGCAATGTAAATTGTATTTGTTTTTTTTTTGTTAAATTTATCATTAAATTTCATCAGTTTCTGTTACTATTCCTAAACTCTTGTCTTTATCTGCAAAGATTTATTCTCAACAAATAGAAATATTTCCATACAATTCGTCCCTCCAAATCTATTATTCACCCTCAACTTTGACTAAATCAATATCAGATTCCATCCAGAACTGATTTCTTTTTCTTCCACTGCCAGAGAAGAAATTATAAAAATTTTATACATGAAGACTCACAACGAATTCCTCGCAATAATTTACTAGTTTCTGTAGGATTCGTCATTCCTGTCTTGATATATATTTTCTTTAATTCTACGTTAAAAAAAAAATAACAAACGAATCTAGTGCTTTCTCTGAGAAATTATAATAGATTTCGATTAGAATTCTACTGAATTGTAATGTAAATTGTCTTTCCTCTTTTTTCAAATTTATCACTAAATTTCGCAAGTTTCTGTTAATACTCCTGAACTCTAATCTTTACCTGGAAAATTCATTCTCAATAGCTTGAAATATCTCAATACAAATCAGTAGCGAAGTGGTAAAACGGTTTAAGTCGACTTATCTCCCAGTTGAGTATTTGAGGAATATTTCCGAATCAAAGGGAGATAGCGAAATTTTCGTTATAACATTTGTTGTAGCTCTCAATTGGCTCTACAAAAAAGGTTATAACAAAATTTTTGCTATCTCCTTTAGATTCCGAGATATTCATTGAAAACTGGTCAACAGTCAAACTCTAAATCTATTATTCGCCCTCAACTTAAACTAAAAGTAGAGCACTTGTCGATGGAAACGTAGAAAACCATTGAAACAACGACAATGATCAACGTCAGATTTCATCCAGAATATATATTAATCGATAGTTAAAATAAACTTCAGACGATGACATATTCTCGAGATAAAATAAAAGCTCACATTGTAATCGACTGCGAACTGTGTCAAGCGGAAAGAAGGTTGCCATTGCCACGACACTGCCCTGTGGAATAAGTAGACTTCGAGATAATGTTCACGAAGGTGGAGTGCATGATGCATTAAATATGAATTACTTACTGCAGCCCCTGATATCGCGTGCACGAGTGTCTCGTAAGTGAATATACTTCCGCCAGTGTTTCCCCCCGTCATTTTGACGTTTTCTCGCGAGCTTTATTTGTCAGTTTTTCTGGTCGATTATCTGGGAAGAGTTGAAGATCATTAGTATTTGTTTTATGGATTGGTTGAGGCATGTACCGATGACAAATTAAATCATTCAATGAACGAAAATCAATGGATTTTGATTTTTTATAGGTGAATTATTGGCTTTTTTATTCTGTAGAATTTCATGAACATAAGTTTTCTCAATTTCTTCCGCTGTATTTCTCTCTCATTATTATAGAGAATAAGATCCAAGAAACCATTGTCAAGTTCCTGGCCAAGAATTCTTATAGAGGAAATTCCTCAATTTTTTCATACATGTACGACATAAAATATTTTTCTAGTCTAACGACGCCTCATTTTAATGATAAAGAAAAAAAGTGGGTAAAAACGTTTTGCTGATGAGACTGATTAAATATTCTCAACTAGTTCCCGAGGAAAAGTGCAAGAGTTTAAGTACAAAACTGGCGATGCCGCTGATAGGATAGTAATTGTAATACTGGAGTAATTATTAAACAGCACTTTGCAGAACATTTTCGTTGGAATTAACGTTATCACCCGGCCTGCACCAACACTTTCATGTGTATTTAACGTAATGAGGGCCGTGTTCAAGCGTTAAATAGTCACTGGGGGCCTCTCATCCCGCTTTACCCCGGCCTTGGTATGTAAAGAGTAAAGAGTCTCGTCTAAAGTTCTAAATTCAATCTTTACGTAGGCTTTTTTGTCGGCTTTATCCATATTCATATTTATGAGGTTGACTACTTGCTCTGCGGAGTAGAGTCTTTTTTGCGAAAAATGAGGTAATGGGGGAGGTGATATAGTGAGAAGGGAATGATGTGATTTTTACTGCCTTTTTTGCTTCCGAACGGAAACCGTGGTTTTGGCCGATTTTTCCATTTTCTAAATTTGATTGCAAATTGTCTAGAATGTTGTGAAACGTGAAGAAATAATGTTTTTCAACATGAATACATAAATAACATATTAATTAATAACACATGAAGAATATATTAATTTTTAGAAAATTCAACATAAATAACATAAATAAATATGTAGGTAAAAATCAGAAATTTTGGTTCATTGTACGAATAGAGAAATATTCAGTAAAAATTACGGAACAATTAACGTAATCCGCAATGGGGAAGCGTTTTCCGGCAATTTTTAAAGGAATGGAAGAGAAGAAATCCGAAACGTTCAGTGAATTTTCAGGTTCATCACTGAAAAAAAAGTACGAAATTGACACGTAATTTTTCCCGAAGAAGGAAAATCTTACAGAAACTTCTCAACTTATTAGGCCTTGAAAATCAAAAATTCTTGAACATTCAACAATTTTTATGAAGCTGGTGAGCTATTTCTACGTTTCGTTCCGTAAAATTTCTCAATCGTTGGGGAAAAATTACGGAACGATTTGTTGTCCTCACAGTGGTGAGTTATCAGACGGGTGGTTAATTTTTACGGAACAAATCTTAGAATTTACAATTTTTATTTAATTTTACTTCGCTCGCGGATTACGTTTCGAAACGCAATTTTTACTTTTTCTTTCTGGTAATTTTTATTGAATTTTTCTCTCCGTGTAGTTATTATTGAGCTCAATTTTGGCGCCGCTGTTTCAGCCCGATCGCTCCAGTAGTTCTTGAGACATAAACAACTTGTTTACATTTCGTTTTTCCTCAATGTCTCAAAACTACTGTACCGATTTGCGACCAACGGCGTTCGTAACTTTTGCGCGACCAACGCAGTGTTAAGATCAGCTCGATGCATTTGCAATTCTTATGTCGTTGAAATAAAATGAAGGATGGCTTGCAGAAAATTTAATTATTCGAATGTTAAATATATTGACTCCATCGGCGTTGAATACGTGAGTTCTATTCTGTCATCGAGTTTTTTTTGCAATTTATATTCCACTTTTCTTCAGAATGTTTTTTGAAATTTTTTTTCCAACTTCCCACCTAATCTTCAAGAACATGTCCATTAAATCCTTAAATACCTCCGCAACAATCAGTCCTACCAAAAATCACTATTCCACATTTTTTATAGTAAATTCCCTCCCCTACAAAAGATATCTTATGACAAATTCCACTAAAACCCTTCATTACCGAGATAATTCACCAGTTTCAAAATTCAAACGTATTTTCCAACTACTCTACTAAATTCTTAATTACAACCGCAACAATCAGTCCTATCGAAAATCACTATTCTACATGTTTTATAGGAAATTCCCTCCCCTACAAAAGATATCTTCTGACAAATTCCCCTAAAACCCCTCATTACCGAGATAACTCGCCAGTTTCAAAATTCAAACGTATTTTCCAACTACTCTACTAAATTCTTAATTACCACCGTAACAATCAGTCCTACCAAAAATCACTACTCTACATTTTTTATAGGAAATTCCCTCCCCTACAAAAGATATCTTCTGACAAATTCCCCTAAAACCCTTCATTACCGAGATAACTCGCCAGTTTCAAAATTCAAACGTATTTTCCAGCAACTTCTTTACTAAATTCTTAATTACCACCGCAACAATCAGTCCTACCGAAAACCGCTATCCGAAATTTTTTGTAGAGAATTCCGTCCCTTACAAAAACTATCTTTTGACATTTCCCCCTGGAACCCCTCGCCCCTCATCAATCAAATATTCCCAAAACCCAGAGAGGTCGACTAATCAACTCTCTCCATTTCCGCCTCGATCCAACTATATTTCCCTTCGCATTGCCGGTGACAATACATCACCGATAAAGACCCGTAGTTACGCAATAATGTCTCTCATGCCGTGACATCTTTCGCCCACCAATATAATCCCGCGTAAATTAAACTATATGCGAAAAACATGGCGGAATCACTCACCCATTCAGCAAAACTGGGCCCACAGTCACGATCATGTCATGACATTATCAACGAAAAATAAAATACTCTCACGCTATAGTTGGGACTGACGCCTGCGCGACAGCTAGCGCTGCACTAAGAGGCCTGCCCGCGAGTTATTGACCATCCGGCAATGCCACAACACTTCGCACATGCGCTCACACTGGGCGGTCTCTCATTTTTTTCTTCCATTACATTACGTCGATACCTTTTCCTCAATCATTAACATTAATTCAGGTTTATTGGTGGCAATGTCCGCCGTGTTTTTAAATACATATTTGGTTATAGAATAATGTCTATAGATGTTGATTTTTTCAAGTTTTTTTCTTGGATTTTACTGCGAGAAATAAATAAAAAGATCGGAGAACAAACTGAGAAAATTTGGGCCCGATAATTTCTATAGAAAAAAGAAAATCTATACGATTTTGTTTTCATTTAATTTTTTTTTCTTTACGATTTTTTCGCGAATTTTATTGTACAAGAAACAAATAAAAATACAGGAACACAAAATGGCAGAATTTGGGCCCGAGAATTTCTATAGAAAAAAGGAAATCTTTACGATTTTCTTTTCATTTGATTTTTTTTCTTTACAATTTTTTCTTGAATTTTATTATGAGAAACACGTAAAAATACAGCGAAAAAACGGGGGGAATTAGGGCCCGAGAATTTCTATAGAAAAAAAAAATCTGTACGATTTCCTTTTCATTTTATTTTATTTTTTCAACGATTTTGTCTCGGATTTTATTACGAGAAATGAATAACAAGACAGCGAAAGAAATATTGGGGAATTTTGGGCCCGAGAATTTCTATAGAAAAAAGAAAATGTATTGGCTTTTTCTTTCAAATATTTCTTGACAAAATGACACGGTAAAGTTACATAATCTACCATAAAATTCGCGCAAATAGAATTCTTAATAGAATTCCAATGGAAATTCAATAGAATTTCGTTGAGAAAGCAGTAGGTTTTTCTCCTGAATTTTTTTATACGTTTAAGATAATGAATCTAACATTAAAGGATGAATATGTATGAGAACATTTTCTCTAGCTAATTCTATTGCATTTCTATTGAACTTTTATTGAAAATTCTATTAGTTTTTTGGATATTCTATTGAAAAATTCCGCTGATTTTCTACGCGTTTTTCAATAGAATCTGTTTCATAGAGGAAAATTAGTGGAATTTCATATTTCTATACAACTTTTGTGTGGACATTTTCTAGAGAAATTTTTCGATGCTTTTTAATTGTTTTCTTTTCGCATGAATCAAATTAAACAAAAACAATGTCCCAATGGAATAAGTTATATAGAAAAATTAAATTCTGTTGATTTTTTCTATGAAATATTTTGTGCTAAACTCGACGAAAGGCTGTGGATTTTTTAATAGAATCCGCGAAAAATTAATGGAATTTTCAATAGAAGTGCAATAGAATTTTCTAGGAAATAGGTTTTTCTATTAAATTATCTCGTACAAGGATTTAATCACTTAGTGATTGTCTCAGTACCTGTTTGGCTGATGTACAGAAACCAGAAATAACAGAGAATGATTTTTTGAGGCTCTTGTTTCGCCAATTTATTCGTCCGCTCTCTTTATGTAGGTTTAATTTCCATTAGATTTTGGCATAACCCATCGTTCGGGGGGAGACATTCATTGATCGTGTGATGGTACTTCATACGTATTTATTATTGATGAGTGTCAGGGTATTAATTATTCAAATCAGTAGCGAAGTGGATATTTCTGGTGAAGTGACACCTTTTGTTCAGTAATATTTCCTTTCTCTTAGGGAATGAGTGGTTTTAGCAGGAAACGTCGAAGGATTTCCTTTATGGAGATTGTAATTTATAAAAATGTCTCTTAACAAATTTTTAAATCGATAATTACTGGGGTAATTCGGTAATCTATCGAACAGGGGCGATTTCAGGAAAACGGAAAATGGATTTTGTTAAGTTTGTAATTATTTCGAAAAAGCAAACATTTTAGGAGAAAATGTCATATGATATTTTTTGTAGCTTATGAAATTACCAAGAAAAATGTTTATTGACATTTTCCCCTAAATTCACTCAATGTCTAGATGTTTCGTCGTTTAAAAAAAGGAAAAATAGGATGTTGAAAGGATTTTTCTCTTGAAGTTGACTCTGCTAATTTGGTAAATATTTCGAAAACTAAGGGTTTTTGGAAAAAATGCCATAAAACATTTTTTGTAGCCTATGAAATTCCCAACAAAAAGTTCTTATGACATTTTTTCCTAAAATCCCTCAGTAGCTAAATATTTCGTCATTTAAAAAGGGAAAAAGGGTGTTGAAAGAATTTTCCCCTTCGAACTTGAAATCTCCTGTTTATTCAGTGATAATCTCGAAGATGAATAGATCTAGACGAAAACGTCAAAACATATTTTTCTATTTCTGTTGATTTCCCCGAGGAAATCGCATTTTCTCCATAATCCACTCATCTGCAAAGTAATTGAATTTAAAAAAAACGTTTAAAAATTAACTAGACTCTTTCGTTCTGTTCTATTTCACCACTTCACTACTGAAAAACGTTTAAATCTTACCAAACGACCAATTGATTATCCCCTTCATATAAATTCATAAGTCATTAAATTTATTGTCTTAAATCCTCCTTATTATCACGTACCAATAAAAAATAAAATACTTCACACCTTCAACAAATTAAAGAAGAAAAAAATGTCATTACATGAATTATCTTTTATATCTCATATAGTTTGAGGTATATTCAAAAATTCATCATATCTCCATCGTATCTACTTTCCTCACCCAGAATATAACATTATTCATAGAATTCGTGATCAATTATTCATCTAAAGTCAAAATGTTTTTTATTCTTCATCATGAGTTAACTGCAGTTACAATACTGTAGACTCATACAACTACGAAATGTTGTTTTATTATGTACAGATAATATATTATTTATATGTAATTGGTTCATTGTGTGACGCACTTGTTATTTTATAATATCAGGAAAATTCAACCCGCAGTTGGTAATTTATTTTTTTTCAAATTCCAACAATGTGTTCATCTAAAATAGGTACAGATTTAATTAAGGCGATCTGAACAATATCATTACTATTATATTTTCAAACTGATATATGGGAGAATTGGTGAACACTTCGTCCAACATATACATGACTGAATTTTCTTATAAATAAATAACAGAAATCGCTTGAGTCGGGACGAAAAATCGTAACATTGCTTTCGTAGAGGTGAATTATCTCTCGATTTGTTTTTAGTCGAGGGTCAAATGGAGTAGAGAAGAGTGATTGAAAGGGCCGTTTGACCCTCAATATTATCTGACCCTCAGATAAAATTAATTCAGGATTTTTTTTCGTTTTTAGTTGAGGGTCAAATGAGTTTTGAGGGTCAAACGACCCTTGAGAACGTTTGGATAGCTTTAAGGGTCCAATGGGTTCGAGCAGAGTAATCACAAAGGGTCGTTTGACCCTCAATATTATTTGACCCTCAGATAAAATTAATTCAGGATTTTTTTTCGTTTTTAGCTGCGGTTCAAATGAGTTTTGAAAGTCAAACGACCCTTGAGAACGTTTGGATGGCTTTAAAGGTCCAGTAGGTTCGAGCAGAGTGATCATAAAGGGTCGTTTGGCCCTCAATATTATTTAACCCTCAGATAAAAATAATTCAGAATTTTTTTTCGGTTTTAGTTGAGGGTCAAATGGGTTTTGAAGGTCAAACGACCTTCAAAATTGAGCAGAGTGATCAGCAAGAAAGGGTCATTTGACCCTCAACCGTACACGTCTTCAAGGGTAGTTCGACCCTCACGACCATTCGACCCTCGACTCTGAACACTCTTACAGGTCGCTTGACCCTCAAAAACTTCACATAAAAACTTTTTTGCCGTTGCAAAAATATATAAAAAAAAATCTCCGCAAAATTTTTTTTATTTCACAAATTGAACTCAACACAGATTACAATTTATTCAGACCCCGGAAAAATGTGTTCATCTTGCCACAACTTACGCGATACAACCCCCTGAATCACTTTTTCATTCATCGATAACAATGTGCTGAAAAAAAATGGCTGAACAAAGGGCTCCGCACACTGTGGTAGAAACCTCAACGTCGGACGAAGGGTTCAACATTGTTATCCTCCCGCCTCGGATAGACCGTTGAAATATCTGAATATTCATATAACCGAATACCATATTTCATACGCCCAGCGCGTTATTGCTCCGCTCGTACTTATATACAGTTGAAAGAGAGGTCAATGATCAAATATAGATTTTTTTTCCCCTCGATTACTCTATTTATCACTAATGCTCAATCGGAAGTTGTCAATTGTGTGCGTATCAACGTTTATTCATAGAGTGTCGATTGTGTTTGTCACGTGTTCAAATAAAAAAAGAAGGAATTATTCATTTATTGGTCGAGAGGTGAAACAGGATTAATCGATTCACTCGAAATCTATTCTTATTTTTTGTTGAATATCTCCGAATATAATGGAGATAGTAAAATTTTCAATGGTTGATTCATTTTTCAATTTTTTTTTGTTTGAATAAAAATCTGCCATCTTTTTTAGATCCAGAGATATTTATAAGAAAAATGGGGAGACTGAGGTGAAACGGAATACCAGAAAAAACGACTATTTAGCACGATTTAGTTGAGAGTCAAATGGTCGTAAGGGTTCAATGAACCCTTGAAGACGTGTGGGTGAAGGGTCAACTGACCCTCTTTCATCACTCGGCTCAAATTCGTTAGACCCTTAACTTTAAACGTTCTTAAGGGTTGCTTGACCTTCAAACCATTCAACTCTCAACCCTCAATTCTAAACGTCGTTAAGGGTCGTTTGACCCTCAAAACAATGTATTCAACTCTAAACAAAACCAAAAGTTCTGTGAGTTAGTTTTAGACTCTTAAGGACGTTTGGTTGAGGGTCAAATGGTAGTAAGGGTTGAACGGCCCTTGACAATTGAACGTGTAGATTCAGGGGTCAAATAACCCCCTCTGCTCTAATTCGTTAGACCCTTAAGATCATTTGACCCTTAACCTTAAACGTTCCTAAGGGTTGTTTGACCTTCAAACCACTGGACCCTCAATTCTAGACGTCCCAAAACGTAGTTTGACCCTCAAAATCATCTGATTCTCAACTAAAAACAAAAATAAAGTTTCCTGAATTGTTTTTACCTGAGGGTCAAATAGTCTTGAGGGCCTAACGACCCTTAAGAACGTTTAGAGTTGAGGGTTAAATTGCCTTAAAGGGCTAATGACTCTTGCTAATCACTCTGCTCCAAGCTGTTTGACTCGCAAAACCACTTAACCCTCAACAAAGATGAAAAAAAACAATCCCGAATGGTATTAAACAGTCGTTTTCCCTATTTTCGCTCTTATCTCCTGAACAATTGGTTCTATAGAAAAATGTCACTAAAACTTTTTTGTAGCCAAGAAAATTTCCAACAAAAAATGTCGTATGAAAATTTCCCCTATACCCACTCTCTACCGAGATAATCCGACAGAATCATCGACATGACTCAACCTCTCTCATTTAAAAACTTGTTAATTACTCCAAGAGCTTAAAATATATATTCCTCAATCGACGATTGTCCCATCACATCCTAAAATAATTCGAGCCATGGGGGGCATCGTTTCCTCACAATTTCAATCATGACAATAATTTAATAATTAATATTATATCACTGAATGGCGCAACTCCTGGCTGGCTCCGAAGACCTCAGGGTAATTCTGGAGCCAGGTGTAATATTCTCATTTCCAGCAGCAAGGGAACACGTTTTGGTCCTCATAATCATCAAGTCCGTTCTGATGCTTGGACGTCGTACATTGGGGGCTACGACGCCGCAGGCATCACTCAGCCGACGTTTAATACTTAACGTTGCCTTGTGCCGTGGCTTTTTAACACAGGAAAAAGGAATAATAAGTTTTTTCCTCTTCGCGTTCATTCGTATTTTAATTATTTCCGGGGGTGAGCGAGGCAAAATGAAACAAGAGGAAAAATTACTATTTACCATAATTCAAGAATTTTTCTTTGTGTTTTTAGCTGAGGATCATTTGACCCTTGCGACTATTGGACCCTCAGCTAAAAACAACTCGGGAGTTTTTTCATTTTTAGCCGAAGGCCAGATGGTTTTGAAGGTCAAAGGACCCTTCAGGACGTTTGGAGTTGAGGGTCAATTAGAGCAGTGACTAGAAAGGATTATTTGACCCATAACCCTACACGTGTTCAAGGGTCGTTTCGCTCCACGATAATTTTCTCCGCAACTCCAAGTGTCATTAAGGGCCATTTGACCCTCAAGACTATTTCACCCTCAGCTAAAAACAATTCAGGAGACTTTTTTCTTATTTTTAGTTGAGGGTCAAATTCGTTGTGAAGATCAAAAGAGTCTTAACGACATTTAGAATTGAGTGCCAAATGGTCTTAAGGGTCCAACCGACTAAATAAGGGTCGATTACAGGCTCGTTTGACCCTTGCGATCACTTGACCCCCAGCTAAAAACAATTCAACAAACTTTTTCTTTTGTTTGCAGTCGAGAGTCAGAACGTTTTAAGGGTCAAACAACCCTTGAGGACGTTTAGGATTAAGGGTCACATGTCTTAAGGGTCTAACCGAATAGAGCAGAGTGATCAGGAAGGGTCACTTGACCCTTGAGACCATTTGACCCTCAACTAAAGACAAAAATAGTTTTTTCAATTGCGCCAAGTACTCGTTATTCCTGTTCTATTTTGCCTCGGTCTCTCCCCTAATTATCTCAGCATTTTTCATGGAAATGAAATATTCTAATGAGTACCTGAGAGGGTGGTAGCATTGTCGGTGAGCCGAATGTTAATGGCACTTTTCTGTGATGATTTGGTGCCATTTCAAGTGGCAATCCAGCGACAACAAAGAGCTGATAAAAAAGTTCATCAACGTGATAGTTACGTTTTGCTGACACCTCCACAAATACACAACACTCGTCCTGGGTTGCGCAGTACTGCTGTGCCTCTTCAACAGTAACGACCCTTTAAATTCAGTGAAAATCATTATTTTGACGGTCCAATTGTCACTGCGGTGGGTTTAATTAATGTGAAGCCACTGGAAAATGCAGTTTTCACCGGGTTTTTGACGCACTGCAGTCGGTTCTTTTCACATTTAGAAATTCATGGGATATTGTTGCACAGGGCGTTGTCGAACTTTTGATTAGAATGGGGTGTGCATTGGTACACTTTCGCTGACTCATTTATTTTAATTGGGGGCGGGGAGTTGGGTGCAGTGGAAACACTGGGTTATTCAACTTTTTGGTTCTGAATGCAAGCGAAAATAGTTCGGAATGATTTGGAGTGATCTGAAAAGCTGAGGAATGTGCGTGGGTATCGGTATTCGAGAATTTTCCCGTGATGAGTATCTAGAATTCTATGAATTGCAACCCTGAAAATCAGGAGAATGCACGATTATCCAAGTGTAAATTGCGTCGAGTGTTCGATAATCTGATATTTCACTTCAATTTCATGTTTAACTCCTCACCTCATTGAAATTCGCTGAATTCGAAATGTTCGTTGAATTCTCAAGAACTTCATCCTCTTCAGATCTCTACATTAATTATAAACGTTCGAGAAAAACTCTGCCTTGCACTCAACTGGAATCAGCGACATTGAAAAGTAGAATGTGATCATGAAGAAAATTTAAAAAAATGTTTCACTGATAAAAAATTTCCATTGAGATAAAAGCAAGAACCTTCTCCGTGATGAATACACAGATTTCTGTGAAATTTTGAGTGAATGGAGACCTTGATAGGCGCTATCCATCAAGCCCTATTGGAGCTCAATCCATTGAACAGTTTTCGAGGCATTCGTTCTCTTCGAAAATCGATTTTTCAACGGTTACTCAAAAAATAATTGCGGAATTCGCTTCATCCGTAGCTCTGAATAATCGTCCCACTGACTTCTTGTCCGGGATTGAATATTCTCAAATTCGCAGTGTACCTTCCTGAGTTATCCTTGAATATAAGTATCTCCACGAGAGAAAGCGGGACTGAATGGATTGTTTTCAATAGTCAATAACTCAAAACTCGAGAGAGTTAAATTCAAAGGATTTTGTACCGTTCTCAAGACATTTATTTGGCTTCGAAATGAGGTAAAGTTCGCTTCATTCACTTCGTTGGTATCGAAGACATTGAAGCTTTGAAAACGATCGTTTTACCCCACCCTCTGTGGGTACATCATAGTAATGCTTGAGCACTTTCTTTCAATTTTATGAGCCATTCAATTTCTATATCCTTTCTTGTGTATTCACAAAAGGTATTGAACAAGAATATCGTCTAAATAACAACCATGAAGCTGTACAATTCACTGTACTACCGAGGAATTGAAAAAAAATGTCTTTCATCTCTGAAATTTCAAGAATTCTAATAGACTCTTAATAAATTTTCATAGAATTCCACCGGCATTTTCTACCGAATGGGTTTTCCATCGATTTTTCTCCACACGTGATCCTCATTTTACCAAACACACGGAACAATTAAAATCGCCTCTTGCACACTGAATATCCAGAATGTACGTGCCAGTCCCAGCACAACATTCATGAATAATAAATCCATATTTATGAGAATGTTACATGGACTGTGAAGGACTTTACATGCATTTTACGAAGCAAATTGTGTACATCAAAAAAACCAACTCCTCGTGGATTTCATTACTCTCATTGTACATGTGACATTCCAGGGGATTTCTTCCGTTAAGACCCTCCAGTTCACTACCCTCCCCACCCCTCTGCCAATATCCGGTATCAAAATTCAAACCGTCGTGTTCACATTTTTCCGGGCGCATTATCTCCAATCCATTTATCAATTCTCAGTTCACATATTCCATCAATAATAAAATGACGTGTTAACTGGGGACGATTGATGGAGTTTTTCATATTCACGGAGATATTGAATATAAATAGAAAAACGAACAGGGTGAATTTTAATCCAAAAAGTGTATTCAATAATCCGGAAGTTGAGAGAGCGTTTGAAAATAATGGAATATCAACTGTTTCTCGTTAATTCCCATCAGAGTTTGAAAACGATTTTTCTCTTTTCATTTATTCTCTGGTGGACTTTTTTTTAGTCAGTTGGGGCTTGAAATTGAATTTTCCACTGGCTTTGTAGTTTCATC